TTGGACAAAAATCTCAAAGATATTCTGGGGGGCAATGAAGCCAAGACTATAATACAGGACTCTTCAAGTTCACAAAAGACAAAGGCAGTGTGACACTACCACCCCTCCAAGAACATCATTTTGCTGCACAGCTCTGACCTTTGGAGTATTTGTGTGATACGGGATCGCAAGATGGCAGAATACTGAACTGAGAACTGAGGGATGCCATGTCAAAAATATGATTGCAAACAGGGATATTTCAAAGTAAAAAGAGAAAATGCTAGACCCAATCATTAAATTCACTTTGGAAATCTGGTTTACAGAGATCAGGAACTAAAGTCTGAAGAGAGAGGTTAAAGTTTAAAGCTGGCTATGACTCAAAATTGTAACCTGGGACCTTAGATAACAGATTTGATCCAAAGAAGACTGGTATAATATATGTTACGTACCACAATCAACCACCAGCTACAGGATGTGGAAATACTTTTGCTGGAAAAACATTATTTTATTAGAAAATTGCGTGGAGAGAAAAATGCAGATCACACTCAGTTTCTGGAAATGTATGAAAATGAGAAAATACTGAAATGATGTATGAGTAGAGTTTAAAGCTATATTGGGTTACAAGTTACCAAAAATATCTGTGGTGTTATATCTTAGCAACCTGACAAGGAAAAATTTATAATGTGAAGACTGATATCTGATTAAAGTGCTGCTAGCGGCGACCAAGAAGGCAATCATGAGGAAATGGTGCAAAGAGGACCCTTGTACTCTGATAAACTGGCTGGACACTGATATTTGATATGGAAAGACTCACACATGTATTGGAAATCCAACAGTCATTATTTATTGAGAAATGGGACAAATGGACTGCCTATAAGACCCTTCACAGAGACATATCTGGAACCCCTGAATAAAGACAGGGACATCTTGAGTTGTGTCAAAATGCTTTGTATATCACTGGCATTGGTTTGGTCTGTTCTGAGGTAACTAAATGAAAAGTGATAAAAACCTAAGTTTAAAAAAGAAAAGAAAATGGCCATGCAGATTTTTTCCTTGTTCAATGTGATTTATCTCCCTTCCCAAAGCTAGACAGGGTTACCAACTGCCTTAGGGTGAAGTTTCATATGAAACTAGATATCCTAAGTTTTAAACATAGTAACTTTAAAACTGAGCATGCCACAGCCTCTGAAAGACTAATATCAGTCGAGGACATAGGTGGCCTAGTGGAGTAGCTTTCTTTCCATCTTGTACAGCAGTGGCAAGAAATAGTTAATTCCCTACAGATGTACCTTCACAATAAAACATATATGATTACTGTAGGGCACTCTGACCTTGAAAATGAAGCTCTTGCAAACCTTTGTCAGCAAGACTATTCTTTGCATATAACCATGTAGATCAATCCTGCCATTCACTCCTCTCACGCATGCTTACTCATAATTTCTTTGCTGTCATTATCTTGGGCTGTCAACTGATAGCAGCTGTTCTCATCAGCTGGTCCATCTATCCGATAGCACAGAGACGCACCTTCATTGTTAGCCTATCACTTTGCTCTTGTCTTCTTGAATATGATTATCTTATGCATGCTCAGTCTTCATCAGCTTCTCCATTGCATCAGCTTCCTCAGCCACCAGCGTCAGCACAGTCATCAGCCACCACCATAACCGAACTCCATGGGGGATTTATCTTGCTGCTCTTCAGGGCAGACATTCATTGTGCCCGGACAATTAATCTGACTCATTATCAAGAAGACTGACTTTTTCTTTACAGCTCTTCTTAATTCCTGCCATCGGGTCTGATTTGGTTGGATTCACCTTGAAATCAGGCAGTGGAAACACTATTGCTTTTGTCCACAGGAGCTGCCTGAATTAACAAAAAATAAATACGACTCCTTGTTTGCAGGATGAATTGTAATAACTTCATTGATCACTCAGTGTTTAGTGCCATCATCAGGTCAAAAGTACTTTGGTCTGTGACCAATTCACTGCAAAACTAATGTTATTATCATCAGTAAAAAACTCACCATTTACTTCACTCAACAAATAGTGCCATAATCCAGGCAGCAATTACGTTTTCAGAAAAATATATTTGGCAGGGATCACATTTTTGTTTTTTTGATTGTGTATGAGTCACATCGTTCCATACACTGTTGATACTGATCACTTATAGGTATCAGTCGGTTAGGATACTTTATATTGTATTAGTAGTAGTGATTTGGGATCTCCTACTAGTTTTACCTTGCACCAGAAATGATTTTATTAGCAAGTTGTTGTTGTTTTGTGTAAATAAATGAGATTATACTGCATTAAATGGAGCGTAGCCTGCAAGCTACTTCAGGCAGTCAACTCCAAATGCACCCTTCAAATCTAGCGGCCTATTTAAACTCTCCCTCTGCTCTGTCAATGCCGTTGTTGCCCTGCATCCAAATTGCTGCCTGCTGTGCTGTAAGCCCCACCACCATCCCAGCATCCACCTGTAAATTCCGGCTAGGGGTTTAAGGTATTTGCTCATCAGTCCCCAATATCTCTATGTAAACATATCTGCGGGGAATAATGAGGTCCGAGCCTAGACGCCAAAATCTAAACATGCTATACTGCTGTAATAAACATTTCAAATGTGGGTTATCTGACTGAATTGTGTTAGTGTCATCAAACTGATGTTTTGATATAGCGGCATCAACTTCAACAAGTCTGGATAGCATGTTTTTGGGTTAATTCTACATTCTTGTGAAGGAATTGGTACAAAAAGAAAAAAAGTCTTCAGGACACCAAACGGGTGAGTAATTTAAATACATATAATTTTTGTGGTAAAGTGCTCCTTTAGGTCTGTTAGTATGCGACAATGACGCCAACATCATGCGGCTGACAGTGCTGCCTGTCAGCTGAAGAGTCTATCACACTGGATGGCAGTTGAGGAGGTTGTACCACCCCCTGGTTTAAAAGTGGTTTAGTTGACTTCACTGACAATCATCATCAGAGCAAAGAGCATTGGAGCAGGTGCTGCTCTGCCTCGCTGTCCGACATCAAATGCTGCCCTCGGTTATCATGTCTTACAGACAATCATCTGTTGTGTGCTACATGTGTGAAAGGGAAATTCTTGGAGTGCATATGTGAAAATGGCTCAACTCAGTTGTGAATTAATGTAAAGCATTAATCCCAAGCTCCCGATCACATATTTTTAAGCAAAATTGGCCAATAACATGTAGAAGCCGATCAATTTGGGCATCCCTAATATTTGGCTTAAATTTACACTGATAGACACATACCAGTTAATCTAACACTTTTGTAGCATGATCGAATTAGTCCACCCTTTCCAGTTACAAATATGCAGTATACTATATTACATTTTGAAGTGCTCATAAGAATTTTAGCTGATGAACAAACCATGCCATCAATCACACTCTCCTCCTGAAAGCTTTTTAAAGAAAAGAACAAAAGCCTCTCCATCAAAAGGATTTCCTATATAGCAAAGTTAAAATGTCATATCTGATAGTAAGAAAAGCAAGGAGACAGAATCAAATAACAATAAAAATGGACTGCCAAACCAGAGCATATTCTATAAACACTGTTCCTCAAACTGTGCTGCTATCTAACACCTCCCTGATTTCTTTTGTTTTCACTCCATTGCTCCAGGCTGACAGACCCTCTCAGACTCACTTCTTCAGAAAAAGCTGTACCCATGTCTCACCAATTAGAGGCAGGAAGAAGGTTTGGAAAACGTTGGTCTTCTCCAGTCAATCTAGCCAGAAGCCTGCATGTCCAGCTCCCCTGTGGGCCAGCAGACTATATATCCATACTATCATCCCTCTATACACACACACACACACACACACACACACACACACACACACAAACAAGGCACTTGTGTGTGTGCGAGTCGTGTGGTTGCAACAAAATCACTGAAAAAACAGCTATTTGTGGTGATTCAGAGGGAGCCAGCTAAAGTAAAAACACCAAGGTACAGTATATTTACCATAAGCCGTTTTTCTTTCCAACGGCTGACCAGCATTTAATGAGAACAATGAGATGCTGCAAACCAAATCAAAACTGCCCGTGTCATTAGGAAGCTTGCAGCTAATTATTTTGATTAGACCCAATGGCTTACAGTGGTAACCCATGCTGTTGAATAAAGTAGTTTATAAACTGGAAATCCACAAGGAAACAATGTTGTTCAGCTTCAATGATCAAATTAATTATATGTTCAGTTTCAAGTGTTTAATTGTCTTGGTCTTATGGGGGCTGGTCATGACAAAGTGTAACAAAATTAGTGCACAGCCGCAAGATGCTTCCATTGTTATTGGTATTCGGAGATGGTCATTACTGTGCAACGAGCTACAGAACTAAAACAAAGAGGTGTATCATTATTATTAGTGTCTCACGGTTTCTAAAATCTCTATCAGAAAAGGTGTATCATTAAAAGAGTGCTCTGTCTCCAAGTGTGGTGTCCTTGTGTCCTTGTGTAATAATATGGCAGTGGGCCTGCTCTTCTCTGGCTTACAGGAAATAAGAATACAGAATACATTTTTTACGTAGGAAACTGCTAAGAAACCTACATAATAAGTTCTCCAACATTTTGATCCGTATGACTGTCAACCACATGCTGTAAATGTTTCAGTTTTCACTGTGGGGATATTTTTCACTCCACAGTTGCTCAGCTTTTTTGTGATCTCTACAGAGAATAAAACGCTGTAATGGAAAGTCCTGCAGGGGCATTTTCTACTGAGGGATGTGGGGTGAAATCAGTGAATACAAATGAATGTCTCGACAGTAGAAGCTGTCTGAAGCATCACTATCCACCAAATTACACAGCTCAAAGAGAAAAGAGTTGAAGGACAGGGAATCATTTAAATCCCTCCATTGTAACTCCCTCACATTCTACCAGACAAGTCAATTGTCATGCATAGTGAATTTTTATTTTTTCTTCTTCCATGATTTTTTCTTTTCTTTAACAAAAGATGCATAATGATAAATGAGCCTTGTGGTGCTCTCAGAGTTGGTGTATTATATAGGCTGCAGCACACTCACCCCATGAGAGGATCCAGAGCTATTCCTTTAGGATTCAGCAGGTCTAGTTGTAGGATAGTAACACATGTGTCCCCACCATGGTTACAGACAAATATCTTGTCAGTCACGCGGTCAACAAAATAGAAGTTGCCTGTCAGCCAGTCGATGGCCATGTGCTCCACATCTGCAATGGGTTAGAACAGGGGTTATATTATTGTGTAACAGTTGAATAAAAATGTATAACACACTTTGCATTTTTTAACAATGATATGTACCAAAGAGATATCAAAAAATGATGATCAAAATTGGAACAGCACAGGCATCGATATCCTAACTTTGAGTCCTGAGTCTAGCTTGGGCCTACACTTCCCATGTTGCAACTCGATAGCATGTTTTGCTAGTTGCTCCCTTCCTGGTGAATGTCCACACCTTACAAAGTCCATGGCCCCAGTTTGTAAAGATTTATGTTAAAAATATCTAGACTCCAAGCACAAGCTGAGATCTCTACTGAGAGGCACAGAAGGTTTTGAAAGCTAAGTGGTACTCACCATGACGAGTAAATGTGATCTTGAACAGTAAAACTGGTGCTGTACCCCTTTAAAATATACCATGGCCACTGAGAATTCTGGCAGTTTGCAGTATGTTTTTGTAAAGGACAGTATAACCTGACATCTATGATGCAGTTGTTCTAAAGTAACAGTAGGTAATGACAGTAACAATTTATGCTTGTTTCTTTGTTTATGCAACACCTCAAAAAAAGACAAATTGTCAGTGAAAACCATACACATTTAATGTCAAATGTGTTTGATATTTGTGAGAAACTGGATAGCATAAAGTAAAAGGAGAGAGATAATTCTTTTGAATGAGTGTAGCTAGTAGCTCGCAGGTTTGAAGGACAGCTCTATGTGAAAGGTGAGTGGCCAAAACCGCTGAGACTAACCTGTCTTCCACCGCACAAATAATGAAGGGATAGAGAGAGAGAGAGAGAGAGAGAGAGCAGGTTAGAGTGTGAGAGAGAAAAAAGGGAGAAACAGAAAGAGAAAAGAGAAAGTGCAAGCATGTGTTTGTGTGAGAAAACACTGTGTATCTCAGCTATTCTTAGTTGTAAGTGAGAGTGCTCACGGTTTGAGAGCAGTTAACCTCTCAATTTCATCAGAAAAGGAAAAAAGGAAAAGATGTAAGAGTAGGAGACTATTAAGAGCTTAAAACATACGTTGCAAACTTTGTTGTGTTCTTATTTCCTGTTCCCGTGTGAATCCACGCAGATTCCTCGTTTCAGCACAGCGGAGTTGCCCAGAGGACTCTGTAGACAGAACCCAGCATACACTTTCCTGGTTGTGCTGGAAATCCAATGCCAGTGTTCCATTTATACTCAAGGACCTCAGGGGCTGAAAGCCTGTTCCATTTAGATGGGTGATGACAATACGATCTGAATCACCAATGAGAAGCATTGGACGGCTGTCACCAGGATCTTGAGAGAAAGGGAAAATATGGATGGTATTATTTGTTTTTGTTTTTATTTTAGCAAAGCAATTTGTACTGTTGAAACATCAAGAGACTAACTGACCTCAAAGAAAGACAAGATTACATTTTAAAAAAAGGAATAGAGGGAAAATATTTTCCAAGTATGGGGTTAAATGATTTAGGAGGAACACATTAACACAAAGAAAGAGAAAAAACAGAAACAAAGACAGCAAGCATGCCTAGGTGTGAAAGAATCCGTGACCATCAGAGGTAGAAAGCATGAATTGCACGCAGACTTACAGAAACAGGAAAGAAAGTAAAGAAAGTACAATCTAACTCAAACACCAGATAAAACAGCACCAAAAGAATCAAACAAAAAATGATTTTCAAAGCTAATCAATTTGAACTAACACAACAAATTGAGAAACACAAACATGTGACAACTCTTGTGGTAGACTTTTTCCAAGCCCTTTTCTCCTGCTGGGAGTCAAGGCAGGCCAGTCCATGGTGTTAAAACTGAGATAAGCTGTTTTATGGGTTTAATTGACCGTGCACATTCTCTGACATCAGGTTCACCCCCTAAAAAGGGCCCTTATTTATCCCGATCTTTCAAGTCAAGGGCTACTCTCCTAATATAGGCAATAAATCAGAGTGTCTGGTCACATAACTGCTTTCCCTTATCCCTCTGAATCAACTTTTAATAGACATTTTTCTCCCACACTAGGGGGTAGATGGAGTTTCGACCAAGCTATCTGATAGTGGTCTGCACTGACTCTTAATCATGCATGAAAAATTTTGCTCATGTAGCAACACTGTTAAAGCATTTCTGAAACAGATCATCATACAATACATTTGAAAAATTCAAAAATTGAGGTCTACAAAAATCACATTGTTGTGCTTTTTTGGATCACCTGCTTAAAGTCCCACAGAAATGACTTTTACTAATGTCAGAAATATTATTTTTCCTCTCCCTGGAGAGACATGTCTGTTTCTGACAATAGCCAACAGGCTGAGCCCCGGCAGGGGAATGAGAGACAAAGTAAACAAACTTGCTCTGTAACTTAAAAGAGCAGTCAGTGTCCTTCAACATCTACAGTAAATGGACCAAATAGACATTTGCAGGCAAGTTTGCAGTTTTGTGTGTTTCAGCTGAGCAGTTAATTAGCAATGTAGCCTGCAAACGGACATTAGCGGTACACATATTTGGGTCAATCTTTACTACATAACTGCAGTATGGAATTAATGCAAAGATAGCAGTGCAGAAAAAAAACAAACATTCTATTTATTTTTTTGGCATAAGTCAGTCAAGAACAGTATCAAGCAGACATGAAACCCATCAGAGTGTTGTTGAGTCAGAATCATTGAGAATAGAAAATATTATACTTTTCACTTTACCCTGAGCCAAATGAGAAGAGATTAAATCAAGATTAAATCTCCAAAAAGAACATTTGTGCTGCAGAGTTTTAACTTCCATCTTATACTCAACACCTTAATATGGTTTTCATTCCCTGCTGCTTCTCATGTTCTGGTCTCAGAGAGAGCTCTATCTGAAATTTATATTCATGAGCTTTTACAACTAATGGTAACCCCATCGTTATCCCCGTACCACTATCGCTCTCTGCTAAATTAATATTAATGCATGTGAGCATTGGGTTCAGTTAAGTTTATGGGTAATCATATTCAGTTTATTCCTGGTAGGACACCAGTCACATTGATTAAAAGCTGCAACAGTGGTGTTCTCCCCAGCTAGGTGTGGCAGGCCTCCAGCTATTTTCAACCCATATATGCCATAGTGACAACACCCTAAAAAAAACTTTATGGTTTAATGAGCTACACAAAAATATACCGCACAAGGTTAAACGTGTTTACTCGTGGATGGTGGACCACCAAAACACAATATCTCTTTTAGTTGTTTTATTTCTAAGTAGGCTGTTTTACTCATCAGGATAGATTTGTTACCAGCATCATGCATTAACATAAATCAGGGTGACGTTGGGCATTGTCTCTGCACAAAATACTCCAGACTGTTCCCACTTAAAATCTCATGCTCATTAATTTTATCATTATCCTGGCCTGACCACGTCTACCCATTCCCATGCGGGTGATAGATGTGGTCATTGCTAAACCACATTAATCTTGCCCTACCAAAGCTAGTAGGCACCTAGGCGATGAGAAGCTAGAATTCTACTCTGGTTGAAGAAAACTGCCCTGTTTATTATTAGAAATGAAACATACATACTATGCAGATTATGTTGTTTCCCAATGCAAGTGTGCCGCTCACCTTGTTTGGCTTTGCAAGATATCCTGTCAGGTTGCAGGATGTATCCTTCTGTGCAGCTGCATCTGTATGACCCATAGGTGTTCGTGCAGGTTTGGCTGCATGCGCCATACATGGCACATTCATCATGATCTTATGGAAAAAAGGAAGAGAGTCATTTGTAACAAATTAGGTGTGCTCAAACATGACCCAAATACATAAAGTATACTTAATGTGGCCTCACTCTGGCACCTCAGGCATAATTACTTTTATAACCAATGAGCCTTTTTTTGGAGCTGCAGTACCCTATAAACCACTCTTTCTCACGTCTTTCTCAAACAGGATCAAATTCAAGAAGCAGTGCTACTTTGTTAAACCCTTCCTCCAGCATAATGCAACTGTATGCCATGTTGTTGGTATAAGGTATGTGCAGAGTCCAAGTAAAACACTATAAGTCTACAGGCACCTTTGACAGCAAAATGCTGTCTTCTTCCTGGCTGTCAGAAACCAGGCCTGTGGCACATATAACAAGTGTAAAGAGGAAGACAAAGAGGCAAAGAGAAATAGTGTTCTCTATATACAGTATGTGCGTGTATGCATGTGTGTTGGGGGCATAATGCACTGTACATGAGGCCCTGCCTGTGGACAGATGGTTCTCATATACCCATCACCTCCTGCTTATTCATCTGAAGGAAGTCTGGCTGAGGGCAAAGGGAGACGGGGGTAGAGGGGGTGGGGGCTCCATGGCAGGAGGCCCCCACCAGCGCAGCTGAATCCTACCTCTGCAGCTCGTCCCGTCCTCACCGACCTCAAAGCCGTCAGCACAGAAACAGAAGGTGCCGTTTCTTGTCATGACGCAACCGTAGCGGCATCGGAGCTCGTGGCAGGCTGACAGGAGCTCTGCAGGGAAAAAGAGAAAGAGAGAAGAAGTGAGAATTGAAAAAGAGAGGGAATGAAAGGCAGGGTGGAATGGGAAATTACTTTTTGATTTGGGAAATTACTTTTTTGATTTTCCTCTTATCGTGGCCCTTTCGGTCACAACTGCTCCCTTGTCATTTGACCGTTGCAAGTTTAGACAAGAGTTTCTATGAATAACCGCATGGAAATGAAAATGGTGTGAATGTATTGGAAAGTATTTGAAGAGAAAAGTTTTCTTAACAACAGAATCACTACACAGGTAAAAGGAAAATAACTTAAAGAAATGTCACTGTGTTAATGTCACAGACAGGTATAGACAGGTGAAGAGTCTTTTTTTTAATTATACATTTTAAATGTTTTTTACTATATATTTTAAATGACTAAATGGTACTGAATGGTAAGTTTTATAAATCCCATATAAATTGTGAACCAGCAATCTAAGACTTCTGATGAGTAAGATTAAAACTTATTACCAGCCTTGCATTGTAAAGTCATCATCTGACACATTGATTGACTGGTAGCAGCCCCCAGGAAGTTCAAACATTTTCATTTCCCTTGTATTTTCTGAATGTTGTGATGGGTGATGATGCTCTGTATAGCACTAATCTTTATACAGAAAGGAACAAAGAACAGCTAATTATGGAGTGATGAACGTTCAGCAGAATAAATGGCACAATTGAAAATATAACCCTCAAAACAAAGCTTTAATTGCATAGAGATTGATATGCCACTGCTGAACATTAATTAATGTCAACTCATTGCCCAAAAGATAAAGGCTTGCATTGATCGTCCTTTGTATTTCCTGTACTAACCATTTCATGACATTATGAAATACGGCAGCTGCGGACCAAATCATTTCTTGACAGGGTGTATTTACATTCAACAGAGTAGTGTGAACTGAACGACAATCAAAGCTTCAGTTATCATCACTTTCTGAATGAAAACACAGTCTTTGGTTTTGATTTTTAAGAGTTGGAATTATGTGATGTCAGTGGATCAGACACTTTTATACACTTACTGAGTTATCAGAAGTCAATGTTTTATTACAGTATCTAACTTTCTTGCTAGCTCACTGACACACTGAGATGAATGGTGCGGTTGGATTGTTTGGAGAGCAATATATAAATCACAGTCAGCGCTTGTTTGAAACCAATATGTCAACTGATAATGATAAAAAACAGTTTGTAAGAGAGGGGAAAGAAGAATATAGCAATGAAATGTGGTAACTGTTGACTAATAAACCAGAGGCATGTAACATTACAGATAATACTCTTCTTCACCAAAGATAAATTGTATTACCAAAATGTATGTAAAAGTACATTCATTGTACAATGAAATTACTCGATGAATAGTCATAAAATACTCACCACAATATAAGTCTAATGAGGTATGTGCAAAATACTGTTATTGATATCAGAATATGTAAAAAAATATACAGCCCTGTTACCATTCACAGCTTCAGTGAGGGCTGCAAAAGATATACAGGGGTGAACTTTATGTGTATTTGGTTTTCATATAGCCCTCAGAGGAGTTTTGATTGACAGGGGGTTGAGTGGAAAATGACTGAATTTTCATTTTTTTGAGGTGATAGAGAACAAGCAAACAGTGAAGTATTGAAATGGTAAATGCCCAGTAGCCTTTGGCCTTCCATGACCAGAGAGGGCCTGCTTGGATATTTATTAATACTCCTCACTGGCTCATAGTGGTGAAATGATTCTGGAGTAGCACAGTGCTCAATACAATTTAAAGAGAATCTAGAAACAAACTATTTCAGAGAGGCATGTTGCTTTTCTGTGTTTAAAAGGATATGTTGTTGACAGTCATTTTGAGGCAGTTCTATACTGCATTTATTCGCCCACAAGAAAGGTGTCACTGTCAGGCTAGAGGTTTAACCATGCTTAAAATGTGCAAGCATTTGCAAGTTGCCAAGTTAAATTTACACACACTAGGTGGTAGACAAAATAAGACTCTACACTAGACAAGACATGACATAAAATCATTAATTAGAAGCAGACAAACAACATTTCCATCATAGTAGGATTTATCTTGATAAAGGAATATAATCCTTTGTGCACATATATATTTGATATATATTTTGGTCATGTACAAAATTCATGCACACCCAAAATTCATGCACACACACGTTTTGTTCAAATATTAAAGGTCCAGTGTGTAAGCATTTATTTGCAGAAATGGAATATAATATTAATAGATATGTTTTAATTGGTGTATAATCAACTGAGTATAAGAATTGTTTTTGTTACCTTTGAATGAGTCGTTTTTATCTACAGAGGGAGCAGGACCTCTTTCATGGAGGCCACCATGTTGAACATTCATGTTTCTACAGTAACCCAGAATGGATAAACCAAACACTGGACATTTTTCACAAGTTTCCCCTATGCGGTTAAAAGGCTGAGCTGTATTCAAATGGTTGTAATTTGCAACTTCCCCTCTTGACACTACTGAATGCTACAGATTGTTTTTTTAAGCTTTAAGCTACTGTATTTTTTGATATAAATTCAATCTTTAGTCACATGAATAATTGAATATTTTGAGTTAGGGGTGAAAATCAGCATTTCGTCTAAACTATAATTGAAAATAGAAGCTTATTTTTACTGTTTACTGTTTTTCCAGTTATCAAATGATATCTCATCTGAGAGTGATTTCAGCTGTATGCTGGTCTTGCTCGGTGTGAGAGGAGCGTATAGTGATGTTAGTATGGGGCCATATTGTCCTGACTGCTGAAACTACCCCAGCTTCCAATTGCACAGAAAGTGGAAGTTTCCAACAATACATGCAAGAGAAATGTTCACAAAACAAGTAATTTTTCCCCACTAAGACACAAGTTTACACATAAGGTACCTTTTGAGACAAACTAACATCTTTATAAGAGAGTTTTTTAAAACCACCAAACAAGTCAAAAAACTTAAGCAATCTCATAACAATTCCAAAATATTTATAATAAAGCCTGGATGAAACTCCTCTTTGGCGTTAAAGTTTGAAATTTCCAGTTCCTGTTGCTGGGATTACTACCCTCGTATAACCTGTTAATATATAATCCTGCCTCTTAACATTATGTTCATATATAACTAATTTGCATTGGCTAAGAGGTTTTGCAGGACATGTAATGCTGCCAGATTAAGCCTTAAAGTACAGACAAAAAATGTATGTGAATGGGAGAGCTTATTGCACCGCATCATATCTGTTGAGTCAGAATGCAAAGCTACTGTCTCTGACCCATCTTTATGAAAATCTCTAAGGTGATATGAGGGTATTCTGTTGATAGCCTAAGTTAATGGAATTTCTACTGCCTTAGAGCTCTTAGTATATTTGTCTGCACATCTACAGTAGAAAATACCAAAAATACCACATTTCAGGAGCTCATTCCTTTACTCTGTACATTAACTTAAGGCGTGTTGTTTAAGATTTAAGTCAAAAAAAGGATTTTATATTTCTATATGACAAAAAATAAGTATGACAAATGTTCAGAAGAAAAAAACCTTGCACAAAAACATAAATATGAATATACTCATACTGTACATACATGCATGCATACAAAAATACACAAACACTTAGAAAAACCCACAACTGTCACTTTCTTGGCTGCGACATTTTCAAAATGCATTTTCAGCTCAATTTAACAAGGAGCCATTAAAGTTCTACCCTCTGAAAATGAATGCAATAGTCGGTTTGTTAGCACTGTTAAAACATTTCTTAATGTGGCCCCCACTGACAAAATGTGGTGCCGATTATGACATAACATAGAACCATTGCATCTATTTTGCTTTGCTCAGCTCTGAATTACTCATGTTTAAGTAACTACCATACAGGGGTAAACTAAATAAGAAACGTTCCGGATCAGAATACACACTGCATTTCAGCCTGAGCTTGCTCTTTCTATACAGCCAAGCAGGCTCTGAATTACCTTTATTTTCAACCTTGGTCACATTGTTTATGTCATCTTGATGATTGTATGTTTTATAAGTTTAAACCTTCATTCACTGTTAAATTCCTCTGTAACTGCAACTAACAATGACAGTTGGCTTCCATTCATATCATGAAGGCCAAACTGACAGCCACACCTTTTCACATAACTTCAATTAACACAAAAACTACATACAGTAGGCTATTTTAAGTGTGAGTTAAATGTCACATATGTCACTCCATCTGATGCTGTCTTCAAACCACACTTTCTGTGAATATTAGAAACTAGCTGGAAGAGCAAAGCATTAATGTCAAACTAACTCAGAGGAGGAGGATGTGTTTTGGTTATTTTTAGGGTTATATGAAGTGAGATTGTGCTGGACAAATTGGGGTGGACTAGAGAACAGCACTCCTGGCAAAATAAAGCTCAAACAATGAAATGACAAAACATTGAATACAATCAGCCATCATGATGGCAATGGCTGGGGAAAAGGCACAGGTTGAAAATAACCAGAATTACACCCACCTACAAAGAGCCACGTGCCGGTAAATTTGTCTGCTTGGAGAGACACATTGTCACTGGCTGCTATCTTTCTGATACATTAGCATTTTAATGGCTGAGTTTAAACAGACTTTTTGAGTCATGCACTTTGAATATAATGTGTCCATCAAATCAGAGAAAAACAATGGTTTTATATGAAACAGGTTCCTGACTGGCTGGCGCTTATGATGGCTCTGAAAGAGAAAGCTGTGTTCTGAAACTGTAGCCTCTCTCCTTACTTAAAAAAAAATCTGTAGGCTATTTGTCTTTGAATTCTCATGTAGAGCAGAAGTGGGCAAAAATAGACAAGAGGATGTGCGATAGTATGTATAAGTTCAGATTGTATTACTGCTCCAGTTCAGATCCAAATAATGTATATCTGTACTCTATATGAAACCTGTAAACCTGCAAACCTTTCCACATTTTATATGAATAAAAAAAAGAAACCGATACAGCACCATGAAAAATGTGTATTAATACCCTGCCTGGAAAAATATTTTGAGGAATTAGGTACTTT